ATTTAGGAGTGCAGGGGCAATATTGGAAGATGAGGAATTGGTGAGAAAGCTATTTGATACGGTCCCAGAAAGATTTATAAATCTTGTGGCTTCGATTGAACAAAGTTCCGACATGGAGTCTATGCCATTTGAGGAGGCAATTGGGCACTTAAAGGCTTATGAAGATCGACTTCGATTCCGGAAAACAAACTCACGTGTTGATAATACTTTGTTGCTTGCAAAATCGGAAGGTTCCTCAAGTCATCGTAGTCCAAGCAAGACCTGGGGTCGGGGGAGAGGTGCAAGTAGTGATAGAGGTGGAAGGGGCGGTTCACGAGGTCGGTGGTCGACTCGTGGAAGAGGCGGACATTTGGGTGGTAGTTCGCAACATGAAGCAAATAACTCCAATCGGAAGCCACGAGACAAAAGCCATATAAGATGACACGAGTGCCAAGAACTTGGCCATTATGCCTCCGAATGTAAAGCCTAGAAGCAGAAAGATCAGGAGGTGAACTTAGCTGCGGATGAAGATGGACCTACTTTACTGTTAATTGTACATGGAGAAGAAAATACAAGTATGGTCCTTCTGAATGAGGAGAAGGTGTATCCGAACTAGTTAAAGGAAATAGAAGATAGCAACATGTGGTACCTAGACAATGGGGCTAGTAACCACATGACTGGTTCTAAAGATTTATTTGCAGAACTAGATGAAAAAGTGACTGGACAAGTAAGATTTGGAGATGGCTCTAAGGTTCCTATCAAGGGGAAAGGCACTCTATTGTTTGATTGCAAAAATGGTGATCAATTTGTCATCCCAGATGTGTATTATATCCCATCCTTGCATAGCAATATAATTAGCTTGGGACAGATGACCGAGGAGGGATATGATATAGGAATGAAGAAGGAATTTCTAACAATGTATGATGAAGCTGGCTGTTTGATCATGAAGGTACAGAGGTCAAAAAATAGACTTTATAAGATAAAACTCACACCTGGGAAGCCTACATGCTTGGCTGTGAGTATGGTTGATGACTCATGGCTGTGGCATGCACGAATGGGCCACACGAATTTCAGAATGCTGGAAGAAATGACACGGAAGCAGATGGTGACAGGAATGCCTCTCGTATCTCATCCAGCACAGGTGTGTGAAGGATGTATGGTAGCTAAGCAACCTAGACAGTTTTCCAAAAGCGGCCCAATGGAGAGCTCGGGAACCGCTCCAATTGTTACACACGGACCTCTGTGGACCCATCACACCTGCAACAAAGGGTGGCAATCAGTACTTTCTACTAATTATCGATGACTATTCCCGATACATGTGGGTGTACCTGATCAAAACCAAAGAATAAGCTTTTGGCATGTTCCAGAAATTCAAACTACAGGTAGAGAAAGAAAAAAGCTATAATATCAAGATGCTAAGAACCGACCGTGGGGGTGAGTTCAACTCCATTCAATTCTTGAATTTTTGTGAAGAAGCCGGCATACGACGCCAATTGACGACTCCACACACGCCCCAACAGAATGGCGTTGTGGAACGACACAATCGAACGATCTTGGAGATGACGAGGTCGTTGCTCAAAGCCATGACAATGCCGAATCAGTTCTGGGGTGAAGCACTGAGACACTCGGTGTACTTGCTGAACAGGATTGGAACAAAAGCACTCAAGGATGCGATGCCATACGAGGCCTGGAAGGGTTCAAAGCCATCGGTTGCACACCTTAAGGTTTTTGGGTGTATAGGCTTTGTCAAGAAATTACGAGGCTTATCCAAGCTAAGTGACCGGAGTGAGACTATGATTTATTTGGAGGTGGAAGAAGGAACAAAAGGGCATCGACTGTACAATCCCAGGAGTCATCGAATCGTGACAGTAAGGGATGTCGTGTTTGAGGAATCCAAGTTGTGGGCCTGGAATGAGGAAATAAATGGAGAGCCACTTACCACACCTTATTGGACTAATGTCTTAGCCCAAGATACAAACCAATTACAGCCGGCCCAAGAGCAGCAACAATCAGACGACGTGAATGCTAGCCCCTCGACGCCGACTAACTCTCACTCACATGCCTCCGGTTTTGGAACAAATAACTCGCCTGTTGGAGAATCGCCTCTGTCGATCTCACCTGGAGATGGGTCGGGAGAAACACCCTCAAGTCACTCTTCAAGAAATTATGGAGATGGTGGGTCGGCAGCCTCGTTCGACGATACCCCATCAAAAGGATTTCGCTTAATTCACGAAATCTACTTGAATACCGAAAGAATGGGTGATGACGAGGTACAGAGACTATATGAGCGAAATCAAGAACTGATGTTGATCGATGATGAACCCACAACGTTTGAAGAAGCATCAATTGAAAGAAATTGGAAGCTAGCTATGGAAGCAGAATTGAAATCGATCGAGAAAAACAATACCTGGGTTTTGACCAAATTGCCACCAAACCGAAAGGCAATTGAGTTAAAATGGGTATTTAAGTTGAAAAGAGATGCAGCTGGAAACGTAATCAAGCACAAGGCCCGACTAGTCGCCAAGGGTTATGTTCAAGAAAAAGGCATCAATTTTGAAGAATCTTTCGCTCCAGTAGCTCGTTTGGAAACTATACGGCTAATCCTTGCACTAGCGATAAGAGAAAACTGGCTTGTACATCACTTAGATGTCAAGTCTGTGTTTCTACACGGTGACCTCAAGGAGGAGGTATACGTCTCTCAACCAACTAGGTTCTCAGTCAAAGGAAAGGAGAATATGGTCTATTGTCTCCGGAAGGCTTTGTACGGGTTGAGACAGGCTCCAAGAGCCTGGAACGTGAAGCTAGACCAGTCACTCAAAGGACTAGGTTTCACCAGATGTGCTCAAGAACAAGAAATTTATAAGGTACACAAACCCAACTTAATCCTCATCGTAGGGGTATATGTGGATGACCTTATAGTTACTGGCTCAAGTGAGAAAGGAATCCTAGAATTCAAGAAAAGAATGAAGTAGGTGTTTGACATGAGTGACTTGGGACTTCTTTCCTATTACCTGGGAATAGAGGTATTTCAAGGGAAGGATGGTATTACTATTATGCTCACACAGCAGGGGTATGCAAAGAAAATCCTAAAGTTGACAGGAATGGAAGAGTGTAACAACTCACAGAATCCAATGGAAGCTAAGCTAAAGTTGACCAAGGATGAACATGGAGAACCTGTAAATGCAACAAATTACAGGAAATTGGTTGGCAGCTTGAGATATCTAGTACACACAAGACCCGATTTGAATTTTAGTATTGTAGTTGTGAACAGATATATGCAGAACCCAAAGCAAAGCCACTATGCAGCCATAAAACATATCCTAAGATATGTGAGAGGAACAACCGAGTATGGTCTATTGTATCACAGAGGAGGTGATGGCATGCTAGTAGGGTACAGTGACAGCAGCTACAGTGATGATCAGGAGGATGGAAGAGGAACCACAGGTGTGGCATATTACTTCTCAGGAAATTTAATAACATGGGCCTCACAAAAGCAACAAACTGTTGCTCTAAGCTCGTGTGAGGCGGAATACATGGCTGCAACTGCAGCTGCCTGTCAGGGATTGTGGTTGAGAAATTTGGTAAGTGACCTTGTTGGAAGAAAAGCTCAAAAGGTGAAGCTACTAGTGGATAATCAATCTGCTATTGCACTTATAAAGAATCCAGTTTACCATGGGATGAGTAAACATATAGATACCAAGTACCATTTTATCCGTATGTGTGTTGAAAAGGAACAGACTCACGTGGAGCATGTAAGTGGGGATCAACAAAGAGCTGATGTATTGACAAAAGCAATGCCACGGATCAAGTTTGCTGAAATGAGGAAGCTGATAGGAGTTGAGGACGTGAAGGTGAAGGCCAACATTGAGGGGGAGAAATGTTAGTTAATGTTGACCAGGTAATTTAGGAGAATAAAAAGGCACGTTGAGTTGTTGAAGAACGTTGCTGTATTTTCTGTTTTTCTGTTATTTTTAGCCTATTTAAGTATCTTAGTTTTAGCTTCATTTAAATGTAATCTTTTGTAACAACTTTCAGTCACTTTAATGAAGCTTCGGCTACTCTTATTCCTCTTATACCCCTGTTAACTCTAGTGTTAGATTAGCCTTGCCCACCAACAAGGAAGACTTAGGGTTGTTTCTTGATTGAACCGCTTCCAGCGAAAAAAAAATGCTGAATTGGTTTCACATCTCCTAGAAAGGCATGAACGAATTGCAGTTTGAAAGGATAAAATCAGATCAAAAGATTGACCGAATTTCACATTTGGGATTTTCTAATATATACCCATATTAGAAAATCCCTATTATATATGGTAGAAAATCCTAGGCAGATATGGGAAGACAAATTTGGGATTTCATAAACTTAAATCCCAAAACTTGTTATCTATCTGAAAAGGAAAGTCAGGAATGACGGAATTATGGAAGCGGCACATCAAACGAATCCTTCCTTTCATATACTTTCCTTATTTACACACATGTTATACGCTTGATTCAGATTCTATATATACGAACTATTCAATGAAGATCGAATCATCTCTTACTTCGATATTCTGTATAGACTTTTCCTACCCCGTCAGCCGCCATGAAGAATTTAGCAAAAATTCTTACTGGTATTCTTCTCTTCTTCCTCTTCAATGCACCAACCACCGCAGACATCACATCTGTGAAGATCCAATCCAACGACGGCGATGAGATCATCTTCAAGGAGTTCGAGTTCACAAAAAACGGTCATGTCTCAGTCAGTCGGTTGCCATCTCCTCCGCATCAGTCACCTCATCGGTCACCTCCAACTTCTCGCGACATGACCCTTCACGTATTGGTTTCTTCCTTATCTCGAATTATGAACAATTCCAATTCCAACGAGAGCATCTTTCATGCGACCTTGATTCCAAATTCATCTCCAGTCTCTTTACTTTCCAAGATCTCTCCCCTCCTCAGTCTTCCTTCAACAAGTCATATTCTGTGATATATCCCAATTGGTACACACTAAGATTCGGCAACTGCAACCCCCTCTCCGACGTGACAATGGACGTCCGTACAGAGTTCTACAACACCAACAACCGCGGCACTACCAAAGACTATTTATCAGCCGGGCTAACAAACCTCCCATCTCTTTACTTCAATTTCTCCATCATTTATATGTATGTTTTAGCGTTATGGATCCTCGTATGCATCAAGAAGCGTCAAACTTTTGAGTGGATTCATTTACTAATAGGTTTGTTGCTTGTCATGAAGGTGCTTAACTTGTTCTGTGGGGCGGAGATCCAACAGTACCTGAAGTTTACAGGTACTCGTCCTCATGGATTCGATGTCTTGTTTTACATATTTGGGTTTTTCAGGGTTGTGCTTTTGTACACTGTGGTCGCGGTAACACAGACAAAGAATGTTTTGATGATTGTGATTGTGATCCCACTTCAGGTTTTGGCTACTGTAGTTTAAGTGAATGGAGAAAAAAGCCCTTTATATACAGACAAGGTTAATATGGACTTGGGGTTAACACTGATAAACCTCATCTGTTCATTTGCTATAATGTTCCTCATCTTCAAGAATGATGTGACCGATGATGAGGCTTCTTGGAATTATTTGTCTAAGTTTACTCGATTTAGGGTTTTTCCTGTAGTGTGTGTTGAGTACTTGTTCATTGATTTTATTTGGGAATGATTGTAACTGGCAGTTCCCATTGGATGAGTAATGCGGCAACTCAGATAACCTGTCTTGGATTCTATATGGTTATGTTATACAACTTTATGCCACTTGAGAAAAACGAGGAAGAGTTTGAGGTTTGAACCCTGGCCTTTTAATGGAACAATCTGAAGTTAATTAATGTGTTTGAAATTTTGTATTGTTTGGGGCTAATGTTTCGGTTCAATAAAATTGTAAATGTTCCTAGTGCAAAATGTCTCTCATTGTTCTTCAAAATTGATGTTAACTGCATGCGTTTTGTTTTCTGCTGACACGGCATTGTCTTGAAATTATGGTTCATGATAATTATTCCACTATCTAAGCCCATTTAGAGATGTTCGTATTATGTTCCCCATGCAATAACACCCAAATCAGGAGTACATGATATACATGCGTGAAAAGGTTAGAAAGAAAAAATTAAACGTCAAATTTTTTTTTTAATTAAATAGATAATTGATTGAAAAATAAAAGTTCAATCGATAATTAAATCGATTGAAGGCAAACGGGTAACAAACTGCGCTGCTAGCCTTTTCTGGATGACAAAACCAATTCTTTTGAAAACACCATTTGTGGATTTAGGAGATATGACATTAGAATGCATGACCCGTTGGACTCTATTGAGGAGCTCCACCGCCTCTGGTGCGAGAAAACCAAATGTATCGAATGCAAAAGGTACAAACACATGTTGATTTTCTATGCATGCATTCTCGTGCTTTACCACTTTGCACACATCGGCTTTCAAAGGGACATGCCCTGCTGTGAAACCCCCGCTCCCCAAACCAACGAGAGGGGAGACCCCAGTAAGATCCACGCACGCATGCTTCCCTCCTATCCATCCAAAGACCAAAATATCAGCCGGTCTAAATGTGGACCTTCTATCCTGCCGGTCCGTCAAAAAGTTCATTGGCGCTTCTTTCTTCATAGAAATATCAGCACGCCAACAAGCATCAAAGAGAACATCCTGAACCACATCATGTCTGTACTTGAAACCAGGGAGCTCTCTACAATGAACCGCGTGTTCTCCAAAGGTATCCAAACATCCATTGCAACAAACTGGGCATATCTCGTCAATTGGGAATAGGGGAATCATGAGGCGGTAACGAAGGATAGTTCGGTACTCCACAGGAGACATATGCTCGCCAAGACCATCAATAGGGATAGTTAGCAGAAAATCCTGAGTATGAGGTGCCCGCTGACACTCAAAGACTGCTTTCTGTCTGACAGTCATGTTGAAGTCGACTTCCATATTTTGGACGATTTTGCTAAAAAGGGCACACACCAAAGCTTTTTGGGATTTAGGGGGGGTGTCCTTATTAGTGAAACCGCTACAGTCAAATCTCGGAATCGTATCGCGAAGACGAGTAATAACACATAGGTAATCCGAGTCCATACCAAATACGCCATTGTCACGTAAGATGTGGTCTTGTAATGCCCAAGATTGGGCCTTTGAGGCTACAAACGCGTAGGAGGAAACCTCGTATGCCGAGTACAAACCCAAACCACCGAAACGAATAGGTAAGGAAGCCAGGCGCCACTGAATGTCTCCAAAGAAGGGGCCTCCACATACCACCATATCCTCGATAGACCTGCGCAATCCTTTGTCAAAGACCAAAGCTGCCTCTTCTATGTGTACCGGCTGACATGTCCTTAAATCAAAGAAAATAAAAACAAAAGAATGTATTGTTATTTCATTTGTATTATGATGATGGTAGTTTTGAATAACCCCCTCAACAAGGTTTCACCGGATGCCTAATCACATGTCCTTAAACCAAAGAAAATAAAAACAAAAGAATGTATTGTTATTTCATTGTATTATGATGATGGTAGTTTTGAATAACCCCCTCAACAAGGTTTCACTGGATGCCTAATCTCAGTTCTTGTACCAAATTCCCTCCAAATGTATGATATATGAATCAATCTCGGCACTGTTTATTTACAATGTAATGATGTAGTAAGGATTTTGTTTTACGGTAGGCCAAATAATTTACAAAATATAAACAAGTAGCAAAATATTTCAAATGGTAACAAAATGTAAAAATGTATGGTTTTAAAGTAAATTGTTCATTTAAGTTGGAAGTAATTGCTTAATTAAGCTAATAAAAAATATAGTATTATCCGAACCTAATGAATGAAGAATTTACTTTGAAGATTGAAACGCAATTTGATCTATTCAAAGAACTATTGCCTTAATTCTTCAATCGACATACATCAACATGTAAATTATTTCTTTCATTATGAATTTAAGTTTTGAATGGGGTGGACTAGGGGTGTAAGTGAGCCGAGCTACTCGTGAGCTACTCGGGATCGACTCGTTAAAACCTTGACTCGAGATCGAATTAAACGAGCCTGAGCCGAGCTCGAGCCTAAATATGAGGCTCGTTTATTAAACGAGTTCGAGCCGAGCTTCAATTAATGAGCTCGCGAGCTTAAACGAGCATATCACTACAAGAAACAATGCCTTTAGCGGTGACACAATTACTCGCGACACAACCCTTTAGCGGCGACTCTACCATTTGTTGCCGCTAAAGGGTTGTGTCGCCGGTAATTGTGTCGCCGCTAAAGGCATCTCACCTGAATCTGCATTTACCCTCTCTGATAGATCTCAGCCGTTCGATCGAGTATCTAATCCAACGGTTGGGGTCTCTTATCCGCACAAACCTAATACCAGCGACAATTGTGTCGCCGCTAAAAGTCTAAAATGTCGCCGCTAATAGTGATCTAAAAAATGACGCGGTATCCTTCCCTCCAGATAGTCGCCGCTGTTGCTTTGTGTCGCCGGTAAAGACCAAATCGTCGCTCGCTAAAAGCGTTGCCCCTAAAGGCTTTCGCAGATAAACCCAAGGTGAAAGTGAGTTAACACCCACTCAAGAAATAATTGCTTTTGAAAAAGTATTAGGAGAGCGACGTGACCATATCAGAGGCGTCGACCGTAAACCTTCTAGTCTCCCGCCGATTCCACAGCCATCGCAACCATCACCACAACCATCACAGGTAAAACAATCTACTTCGGTTTTTTTGTGGTGATTATTTGCAAAAAGTTTTGGTAATTAGGATTTTGTCCCAAGTGCAAGAAATAGCAATGCAGTTTGGTTTTTTGTCTTAGTTTAAAAATAACAATCTACTTTTTCATCATAAAATGCATGTTAATTTGGTAATTTTGGTTTTGTGGTGATTATTTGCTAAAAGCATTGATAAATGGGTTTTTGTCCCAAGTGCAAGAAATAGCAATGTACTTTGGTTTTTTGTCTTAGTTTAAAAATAGCAGTCAACTTTGGCATCATAAAATGCATGTTGATTTGGTAATTTTGGTTTTGTGGTGATTATTTGCTAAAAACTTTGGTAATTAGGTTTTTGTCCCAAGTGCAAAAAATAACAACGTACTTTGGTTTTTGTCTTAGTTTAAAAATAGCAATCTACTTTAGCATCATAAAATGCATGTTGATTTGGTAATTTTGGTTTGTGGTGATTATTTGCTAAAAACTTTGATAATTGGGTTTTTTTTCCCAAGTGCAAGAAATAGCAATGTACTTTGGCTTTTTGTCTTAATTTAAAAATAACAATATACTTTAATAGTTTTTGTTTATGTTTGATAATTTAACTTATAAGTTTATATATGTTGTTATGAATTATGTAGTTGGAAAATATTCGTGCAATGCTCAACGACCCGACATGTAGGGATGAGCTTTATTCGTTTTTTCAATGCAAAAATAATCAAGGAAACGATGGAAATAAAGATGATGGTATGTAGAGATGAGTTTTATTTGCATATTACACTTGTTGTCACGCTTTGCTACTTGTTAGATTGTAAAATTTTTGGTTGTTTTCTGTAATTACCGGCGACACTATTACCGGCGACATTATTACTTTTTATATTTAATCGGATATGCGTGTGATTACCGGCGACACTATTACTTTTGATATTTAATCGGATGTTTGTTTTGTAATTAGCGTCGACACTATTATTTTTGATATTTAATCGAATGTTGTTATGTAATTACCGGCGACATTATTACCGGTAATTACCGGCGATATTTAATCGAATGTTGTTATGTAATTACCAGCGATATTTAATCGAATGTTGTTATGAAATTAAAAAATGAAAACTGTTATTACCGGCGACACTATTACCGACGACATAATCATTACCGGCGACATAATCATTACCAGCGACGACACTCTTTACCGGCGACAAGATCATTAGCGGCGACAATTCTGATTAGCGGCGACAATTTGATCAATAGCGACGAAGCAGTAGCGGCGACTTATTACCGGTGACGTGTCGCCGTTATTACTATTACCGGCGACAATTGGAGCTTTTATCTGGGACTTTAATCGAATGTTGTTATGTAATTACCGGCGATATTTAATCGAATGTTGTTATGAAATTAAAAAATGAAAACTGTTATTACCGGCGACACTATTACCGACGACATAATCATTACCGGCGACATAATCATTACCGACGACGACACTCTTTACCGGCGACAAGATCATTAGCGGTGACAATTCTGATTAGCGGCGACAATTTGATCAATAGCGACGAAGCAGTAGCGGCGACTTACTACCGGTGACGTGTCGCCGTTATTACTATTACCGGCGACAATTAGAGCTTTTATCGGGGACTTTTGTCGCTGCTAATTATCTTTTTCCTTGTAGTGTGTGTGTGTGTGTGTGTATATATATATATATATATATATATATAGAGAGAGAGAGAGAGAGAGATAGGTTCAGGTGTTTAAAGTAATTATTGTGTTATT